ACACACACACACACACACACACACACACACATGCACACACACACACATAATGGGTACAGCTGAGGCTCTGACACATGTCCTTCCTCTCAACCAACACTCCCACGTCCCAGCTGTGGATTCTGTACCTGAGAGTCTTTAACACCGAATGTGTGTTCGGACATGTGTGCACACTCGGCCTTTCACTCAGACATGCTTCCATTGCTTCTGAGCTCAAACACAAAGACACCAAATTACACAGGAAATATATACACACACTGCTACATGATGCAAACACTGCGAGGAGAWAATTACAGAGGTGAGAGGTTTGAAATTGAGCTGAGGTACGCAGAGATCTGAACACTGTGATCTCGTGTCACTTTAACCCTTGTGAAAGGAGGATGATGGAAAAAAAAGGTGGGAAGTACTAAAAGACACTTTTGTCACTTTGTGTTAGTTTCTCTTTCTTGGTATACTTTAACTTTTCCTTCTGTTTGTCCTCTCTTTCCCCAGCTTTTAACATATTGTCTATAACGTAACAATGTTGAACAGTGCAATGACAGCATCATCCATCTTCGCTCAGGTCTTAGGTAAGCCCCACCCCCAACACACACACAGAAGCACCAAAATCCAGTTCAGATTTGTGAATAGAAAAAGAACAAAATTTCTCCACATGTCCTCCTTATTTCCTTTCCATTTCCTGTGTATTTTCTTCTTATTCGTGTACGACAAAAACAAGAACGTAGAGCAACCTGAGTCATATTTTTGACAGAAACTTGGCTGAAGTAATCAGAAAGATCTTTCCATGGATGAGAAATATTTAAAAAACAAACAAACAAACAAAACCACATTTGCAGTTTTGGATGTTTAACAGGTATATTTTTGCTTCCTAACCTAGCATTTTGACAACATAAAAAATGCTTTCTCACTATGTTTTGCAGTAAGATTTGCTGTAATTTTATTATAAAAAAAACATTGTGAAGCCTGTTGAATTTACATCATCAGACAGCCTCAAGGTTTTATCTTAATAATAGCTTCTGAATCAGACAATATAATTCTTTAGTGTCTTTTTGTTGTCATAAACTACCGAAACAATCTATTCAATGAAAAAATTCTAACCAAAGATGGACGTAGACAATCTGCTTGATATGTAATAATTACTTATTCCAGCTTTTTTTTGCAATAATAGAAACATCCTGTCAAGTTTCACAAGTTACTTACTTAGTCATCCTTCATACAATGCAACCTATGRCATATGTTGGTCAAAGCTCTTCCTTTTGCTAATGTTCCAATGTGGGCRCATCGCCTACATYGGTTTTACGGCTCCTTGTATTCCCAWGTGGTCTCCCATCCAAGCACTAACCAGGTCTGACCCTGCTTAGCTTCAGACTAGATCTGGCTTGTACAGGGTGGTTCCTGTAAGACCTCGTTTTGTAATAACAACGCATTATGTACTAATGTAATAAAATCAGGCTTYAAAATGTAACAAACTCGCGCTAAAACCACATTATGTAAYAAATGACGCAAAATGTAATWAAAGTCTTCAACGCATTTTGTAATATCCGCAGCYGCATTATGTAATAACGTTWTTACATTTTGCAGCAATTGTTACCRAATGTGRTGGTGTAATAAWCTGGTGCATTATGTAATAAACAATTTAAAACCAGTATTTCTGGTCTTTATTTGGATGTCCTGTCAAAAATGTAAGATGCAGCCTCAATTCATGTTTCAAAACAACCATGTCAAGTTGTAGGATTGTCCGTAATTTACACAGATTTTATGTCATTTTGCAGGTGTAGGGATGTATAGAGCAATCTCAGATTTTTTTTTCATGTTTTATGGAATCTTTCAAAAGCTTAGTTTCTAATTTATTCAACATGTCAGGGCCTGTAGGAC